TACAACTTTCTAGTTTTGAGTTTTTTCATTTGAAGTCGTTAAGATGCTCAAAAAAAATTAATAACATATTTGAACTTAAGGGCATTTTCGTCTTTTCACACCTGCAGCTTGACGGCGTTAGAGCCTGAATTGACGGAAGTGGCATGGAGGACCCAAAAAAGTTGGAGTAGTGGCGCTGAAGACCGCTGAATTTTTTCAGGGGCACACAGGGGATTGCGATCTTTTATAATGGCACACAGGGAAAAGTCTCTAGACAGAACACCCCCTCCCTCTTACGTTCTTCCTCCCCAGAACGGCCTCCTCTGCTGCTCACGGTACTTCCTCCTCCCCTTGCCCTCCCATGGCGTCCCTTCCCTCAATCCCCTCTCTACAGCACCAAATTCTTGGGGGAAACCTGCAAATCGGATCGAGGACAACGAGAGGAGCAAGAAGAGGTCATCATTCATGTGGATCGATCCTTCCCCATCCCTCCCGGTCGCCCTAGGGTTTGTGGGTGACCAAGGTGAGTTGGATTTCTCCCTTCTCTACACATGTTGGGTGTTTAGGGTGGAGTTTGGCCACGGGAATAAGTGGATTAATGGGGAAGAAAAGTTGTTTGAACGTTGTTCCACGAATTTCAGATGAACAGTTCTGCAGATTTGCTTGGGAAAGCGACTAGGACTACATAGAGGCAGAAATAAGTATTTTGGTGAACTACAAAGTTGTAGAGGACCTTCAGATCTATTATCTTGTGAAATTTCATAATTTTATTCCAAACGGTTTCAGAGATATGTTTTTTCAATGTCATCTGTCATGTTCTGGGCAGAACTAGATCTATGGGGTTTTCGAAACTCTTTAACTTTCCAAATATGAGAACCTTATAGTACTTTTCATTAGCTTTCCACATTGGTAAGGATGATGATTTTTGGATAAGGGAAACTCTAGGTATGTTTTTTCAAAACTAAATGTATTGCTTCCTTGGCAGGATTTCCAGTTAAGGTTTGGACATGTTTTAGGCCATCTAGATGACACTTAATGTGAAAGTTCATAATACTAAAGTTGTAGATTATGAAACTATCTGCTCCCTTGTTAAATTTCATAATTTTTGGACTTGCATTTGGAGATATGAAAATGTAAAGTTTGCTGCCTCAGTTCTTAGACAGTATCTGTAAGCTGTTTTCAACAGCGGTTTGGGCCATCTTAAAGGCGTGATAAAAATATAAGCTCTTCATAAAAGTTGTAGAAATTTTCAGTACTTTGCCAAGGAGTATTTAAATGCAATTGTTCGTTGAGTATTATGGGAGATATCACGTTCTGAATTTACTATCAGTTTCTGTCAGAGTACAGATTCAGTTCGACCATCAGTTTTGGGTGCCAATTTAGGAGTTCGTCGAAGCCGAATTGGTTCAGTATGCTATGGACGTTTTTATAGTACTTTGTATGAACTTTCCATCAACTATTTAACTCTAATTTTGGTTGGATGGATTTGGAAATATGTTTTTTTTTTCCGAAAACAGTGTTGCTGCTGCTAATAAACAGAGCATGTCTGTCACTGGGTAGGCTGTTTTTAAAGTAGAATATGGCAAAATATGACCTTGGTTTGAATGCCAAAGTTGTAGCTTGTTCAATGTAGATGCTTGGAAAGTGTTTATTTGTTATTACCTCTATTAGGGTTTCAAAGATACAAAAGAAAACAAACAGCGCTGCTGCTGTTTTTTTGAGGTGAAGTGGGGCTGTTTTCGCCTGTTGTTGGTCTGAACGTAGGAGTGCTTTGTATATTGTTTGTAAGTGGTCTTTGGAGTGCATGTACTGAATTATGTGCTTGAAAACTGGTGGAAGCACTTCGGAACATCGCTAGCGTTTTTTTGATATCCTTGGGTAAAGAGGCAGGTAAACATAGCGGTGGTTTGCTACAAGCTTTAACTTGTTATTTATTCTACCTCCACCTAAAAAAAAAGTCAGAACCCAATACAATGTAATGTTACCTCTCAACCATGATATAATGATTTTCGTGACATGCTCTATGTTCTCCATTTGAATATCTATGTCCTGCACTTGTGGTTTGATGACGCTCATGTTGATTCAATGGAACAAGGCTTGTTGTCCCATGGAGAGATGCTCATGGTGTTATATGTGATTATTTATCATTATTCTTATGGCATTTGCATTGCATCATATGCATTCATTGGCATATGGAGTTATGTCGCCGCTTGATAGCCGCGATCATACCGGTATAGCATCGTTTATTGGGCATAACGATGTGGTTTCATACCTTGTTGGGTATCAAGGCAGGAGACATGGCATTTGCATTGCATATGCACTATAATTTTGGCGTATGGCACGATAGCCTTGGACTGAGGCTTTGGATGAGTTTGTGAGAAGCTATGCTTCTCCAAGGTTTGGTGATTATTAATTCTTTCCATGTATGAGGTTGTGTCAATTGTTGGATATATCTCATTGCTTATTGTTGGCTTACATATAATTGAGGTTTAAATCGATCCTAATCAACTTGTAGTTTAAATAGATTGTTAAAGTAGTTTAATTGCTGAGATTTTTATTTCTCACACCCCCTTTCTATCTTTCCAGGTGCTGAAGTGGCTTTGCTTGAAGGATGGGAAAGTAGCAGCACCTTTGCACATCAATGCCACAATCCAATGTTAAAATAATATGTATTGTAGTGATAGCATGATTAGAAGTGGAGCTTGTACTTATGGTTTTTGTTGGGCCGTTTTTGTAGTCTTATGATGTTATATATCTTGGTGGTGAAACTGATCTATATCTCTCTATATGCTGTTGCTTCCGCGTTGCTCCGTTTTAAGGGGAGATGTTGCCAAAATTATTGTTAAACGGTCTAGTTTTCTCTTTCTTGCGATGACATCTTAGGGCGCGTTTAGATCCGAAAATTTTTGGGTTTTGGGTATTGTAGCACTTTCGTTTGTATTTGGTAATTAGTGTCTAATTATGAATTAATTATATTCGAAAGTTTCGTCTCGCGATTTTTTACCTAATTGTGCAATTAGTTTTTTTTTCATCTATATTTAGTACTTCATGCACGTGCCGCAAGATTTGATGTGACGGATACTGCGCAAAAAATTTTGACTTTTGGAGGGAACTAAACGGGGCCTTAGATAGGGAGTTTTTGAGGTGTTACACTCGCAGCCACCGCTGGCATCGAGAGAGACGGCAACAAGATAATGGAGTTCGGGTAGCCGATGGACATGCGGCACGTGGGGCATATGACGTTCGACCGGTTCCACGGCTTCCGTGGCATCCCCGAGGAGCTGCTGCTGTCCAGCCTAAGGGCGGCGGTGGATGTCGTCGATGACATCGCCAGGGTGCCCAGCGGCGGCAAGACAGTGTTCGGCGTGTCGACGGAGTCGATGCAGCGTCCCCACCTCATTTGAGAAGTTAGTCACTTTTTAATGGGTCGCTTTGGGCCTACGTGGCTGAGGTGGCTCTCTCTCCTTGAGAAGTCAACCCACCACTGCGGGTGCCCTTCGTCCTCAAATTATTTGTTACTGCAATCACAAAAGTCGCAGTGGCATCGCATCATTGTAGTACTGGTTGAACACACAGGAGACACAGAAACAGAGGATGGCAGCGGCGGCCGGCGGCGAGAGGTGGAGCCTGGCCGGCGCCACAACGCTGGTAACCGGTGGCGGCAAGGAGATCGGCCACGCGATCGTGGAGGAGCTGGCCGGGTTCTGTGCTCAGGTGCACACGTGCGCTCGCAGCACGGCGGACCTGAGGAGTGCTGCTGGGGGTGGGCCGAGATGGGGCTCCGCGTCACCGTCTCGGTCTGCAACGTCGCCGTGCGCGTCGACCGGGAGAAGCTCATCATGGACACGGTCAAGGCGACCTTCGACGGCAAGCTCGATATCCTGGTAAACTAAAGGTGAAACCATACATCTCCGGGCTCCGGCTCCGGGGATCCCATACACGGCGAAGTAAGTGCCCGTACAGGTGAACAATGCGGCGCTGCTGATCCTCAAGCCACCGGCGGAGTACACGGCGGTGGACTACTCCCAGACGGCAACAAGATAATGGAGTTTGTTTGCTTGGCCGTCACCGACAGGCCAATAGTTCACCTTGGAACTCGGCCGCCCCCGTCTGGTTAATAATTACTGTCTGTGCCGTTTGTTTGTTGGGTTGGGCTGAAAACATGATCGTGTCAGGTTGTAATGTATTTTTTTTTTTGGCATTCGTTCAGCAGCTCCAAATGAAAGATCTTTCACCAGAACACATGCATCAATATCATCATCATTCGAAGTTTGAAACAGTGTAGTAGCTAGGAGGGTGCAATTACAGCTGTAAGACCACCTAGAATGCTCATCAGAAGCGTGTCGTTTGTATGGTTAAACTCTTCTTCTTAATTATAATAATACGTAAATCTTTTACGAATTTGAGAAAAAAATATCATCATCATGAGTTTCAAAAGACAGCGAGCCAGTTTCTAGGCCATGGCACAAGCCAGAAGAATGCAGGATCCATGAGTGTGCTGCCTCGGTCGGCGGCGTCCACGGCGCATCCATTGTGATTGTGGTGGCCGTCCTCGCCTACCTGCGACATGGGCATTAGTCGGCTGCGGCCTGCGGACGTCGATAACGAAATGGCTTTGTTTGGGTCTTGGAAGGGGCCGGGCCGGTAAATAATAATAACTGAGAAATAACTAATTAATCTCGTCTCGAGATTTTGTCGGCCCAATTTTCAAAGGTGCTCATAGTGTAGGATTAGTGTGCGTGCGCCGTAAGATTCTGCATGGTATTGTGTGATAACTAATAAAAAAAAGGTGGGCTACTTTTGAGATGCGTGCAATTCTAGGAGAGAGGACTACTAGAGCAATTGTCATAACAAAAATATAGAGACGGTAGCGTGGTGCCACAAAAGAAAATACGCAGTAATAAAAATCAACAAGACAACCAGCCGAGGTTGCAGTTCAGAACGCGAAATGACAAACGGATTGGACGACGAAACAAGAACACGACGACCGTTATTCTCTGCCGGCTAAATCACCTGCTAGATCAGGCACTAATGGTCCAGCCGCCGTCCACGCAGATGACCTGGCCAGTGACGTAGGACGCCGCCGGCATGCAGAGGAAGGACACCATGGACGCCACCTCCACCGGCTCGCCGGCCCGCCGCATAGGGGTCCTGGTTAACGATTGCTCAATGGCCTCTGGTGGTGCCTATTAGGAGTATTTAATTTACATTGTCAACTAATTTCATGTCGGCAATTATATATACTGTATTAATTATGTCTCCATAGTTAGGAGTATAAGTACCTCTTTCGCCATGTCGGTCATGATCACCCCAGGTGCCACGCAGTTCACACGAATCTTATCGCTAGCCCACTCGGCGGCGAGGCTCCTTGTTAGTTGGTTTATTCCGGCTGGCATGCGCCCAAATAAAACAAATTTACTATCAAGGTCATAACATATGGTAAGATAAATGACGTGTATACCCTCTCTAATTACCATATTTAGGTTGGTAATAGACATTAATGAGGTATACATGGGTCTTTTGGGTTCTTGTTATAATTTGGTACAAACTTTGAACTCTGCATTCCTTATATTCAGGACCAAGGGAGTGTCTCAAACAAGTAAATTTAAACTTACGGTGTGTGTGTGTGATTTAAATACTTTCGAATTTTCCAGTTTCTGTGTTGTGCCGTATACCAAGCAGTTTAACAAGGAAAATGGAATGTCAAATTCAAAATTCGAACAGAACAATTCCCACTTGTACTTGTCTTGGCAAGTAGTTGGACAATTTTTTCCATCATCTTGACAAACAACCTTAATTAATTTATTTCTTCTAATACAACACTTTGTCAAACGTTATAAAAACAATAAAAATGAATAATTATTTACTTTAAAACATTGGAAGCTATGCTTAGAATTGTATTCTGAAATCAGAATATCTGAAAAGTCTTGTGAATTTGGAAAATTGTAAAGGCCTATACCTTTGGCAGTGCCATAGAGGGTGATGTCGGGGTAGGCCAGCAAACTTCCAATGGAGGAGACATTGACGACGCTTCCGCCGCCAGCGAGGGAGGCATTAAGGAGGAGAGGATGCGCGAGCTGGCAAAGGTGGAAGCACGACTCCAGGTTGATCGCCATGCAACGTGAGAAGTCTTCCGCCGTGCACTGCGCCACCGGTTTCGGGAACAACTGCGCCGCATTGTTCACCTGTGTACGTGCAAGCATGTATATATCACTACGACAAAAATGATTTTGATAGACAAGATGTTTGATTAACAGAGGTAGACAAAAGGTAAGGTAGTCTCTAAAGATAACCAATAATTTTCAGAGATGGTCGACTCATTTTTAAAGCTAACGCAAGTCAAAAATCCATTAACAGAGGCACGTGCACTTATTAAGAGGTGTGTCTCACTAAATGAGCCTGAGGCTCACGAGGCCTAAAACTGAACATGCATATATAAGCACACACTTAGCTCTCTCTCGCCATTTCTCTCCCGACTCAACACGGTGGCAACCCTCTCTCACTCCCAAGCTGCCGAGGGCGCACACGGTGGTAGTTGGCGTAACCCACCCAACACTCTCTTCTCTCACCCTCTCTCTAGGGGGGAGAACCAAGCCACGGGCACAGAGCATAGTGGAGAAACCTGTGTTGGTGGCTCTGGTTTGGCTTTTCTGTCCTCAAGCTTGACACCATCGATGGCTCCATTGAGATCTGTGGTAGCGTGGCACTGGTCGACATGCGGACTGCAGTTGGGCTCGGTAGCAGGCCTTTAAAAACGGTCAACACCCATCTCTAAAAACCCTTCTTTTGCGCTAGTTTTTTTTCCACTCTTCCTACATCTCAGTCGACTGAGATGTGTTAGTTGTTTAGCCGATGGCGCTCGCGCCCCTTCCCCACGCGCATGCGCACGCATCTCCTTCTCTCCCCACATGGCGGCGGCGGCGCCGGCGAGGTAGGCCCTCCTCCTCCTCCTCTGGATCTGCGAGTTAGGGTTCCGGCGAGCTTCTCCTCTCTTGCCCCAACTCCAGTGAGCTTATCTTCTCTCTCTCCCAACTTCGGTGTCTTTAGTAAAACGAGGGGCCCCGGGGAGATAGATAGGCCAGGCGGTGGGGTCGGCGCCCGGGCAGTTTAGGGCCCTAGCCACGGTGGAGGCGGACAGCTAGGTAGGGGCTGGGGAGTCCTGGCCGTTCACCGGAGTTGGAGAAGAAAGCGGTGGCAGGAGCTGGGGAGGAGAAGAGGGAGTCTACCACAGGTGTGGTAGGGTCTCGCCGGAGCTCTGCGACCGCGGCCGCAGCAGCAGAGCTCCGATAAAACCCTACCGTGGCGGGGCGGTGGGCGGCTGCGGAGGTGACTTCTGCGGTGGCGGGGTTGAGAGCTGCTGGAGCCTGGAGGAAGAAGATGAATAGGGGCTAATCTGGACTGTCCGTTTCGGATCCAAGGGCTGAGATGCGTCGCCTTAAAGAAATGCAAATCTCAAGCGCCTGGAATATAGCAACATCTTTTTTTTTTTGAGGGAATTGAAGGAGCTAAATCCCCTACAGGAAAAGGATGCATTAAAAAGAACAGGAATGAGAGGAGGTGCATCATGCATGGACGCTCAGTATGACTTATTGACGTGTGATCTGCCGTCGTCGAATGGACATGGATAGCATGTACGGGATAGGACAGTAGGTTTCTGCTTACCAGAATGTCGAGCTTGCCGTCGAAGGTGGCCTTGACAGTCTCCATGAGCCTCTCCCGGTCGGCGCGCACGGCGAGGTCGCAGGCGGAGACGGTGACGAGCAGGCCCTTCTCGGACCACCGCCGTCGGCACGCCTCCAGATCTGCCGCGCTGCGCGAGCACGTGTGCACCCGCACACCGAAGCCAGCCAGCTCCTCCACGATGGCGTGACCGATCCCCTTGCTACCGCCGGTGACGAGCGCCGTCGCGCCCTCCAGGCTCCACCGCTCACCCCTGCTATTCCCGCCGGCGGCCGCCATGGCCCTCTCCCTCCGTACGTCTCCGTGCGCGCGTCTCACCTCCCAGTTTACGCAAGTATGCTAGCTAGCTGCTTCAGTGATTCGGTGCTTTATGAGAGCAAACAGGCACCGCACGACGATCCAATCTTTGGTAAAATCTGGCAGCGAGCTTGTCGCCTACTCGCCCCTGATACAGATACAGTGTCCATTTGCCCGTCTCATCGATCCGACGCCAGTCGCTACACGTCATCGCAATCGGCCACGCCAGAAGAGTGTACTTTTCGCACTGTTGTTTCCAGCCGTTCATTTGGTCGATAATATCTGGACACAGACAAAGCGGAACAGCCGTGTGCGTCTCTTCCTTGCATTGACAGGCTACTAGTAGTGATGTCGGTAGTCGTAAATACTTTGAAAATATCCATGAAGATTTCAAAACTTTAATTTGACTGGGAAACTATGAAAGCTTAAATAAATATATCCACACTTTTCCATCTTATCTTACTATTACTAATTAAAGACCATAACAGACGTGCTAGAAAAAATTAATAAATCCTAAAAATTCTCATAGTGGTCAGAAAAATCTGGCATTTAATTTGTTAGACTCTAATCATCATTACCGGCAATAGCCATTGGATTTATTGTTGTTTACAAAAAAAATTATCCAACTCTGTTATTATAAAAAAAATACATAAAGTAATCGCTAATTCTGCATCTAAATTACCCATATCCGCTATTATGAAAAATAATTCAAAATAACCACAAACGGAAACGAAACAAAAGCTTATTGTTGATGGGCTGGAGCGCTGGAGCAAGGAGCGTCATGGTGACACACAAGTGCCCCTGAGGAAACCGAAACGAAACAGTTGCCCTGTTCGCTTGGCTTATAAGCCGTACTTTTCAGCTAGCGAACAATATTTTTCTCTCACAACAAATCAGCCAACAGTTGGAGAAAGGCCTTCCTACCTCAATGTTCCTATAGATGCCCGTGAAGAAAGGCGTTGGAGACATTGAGTTGTCGCGTGGGCCATTGATGGGAAGCAGCAATGGTGAGCACGGTTTGAATCGTGGCCGGCTTAACGACCGGCATGAAGGTTTCACCGAAGTCGACGCCGGCATGCTAGGTAAAGCCGCGAACGACCCACCGAGCTTTATACCGCTCGAGGTTACCATCCGGGTTGAACTAGTGCTTGAAAACACATTTCCCAGAGATGATGTTGGCACCAGGTGGGCGATCAACCAGCCTCCAGGTACGATTGGCCTGAAGCGCGCTGAATTCATGTTCCATCGCAGCATACTAGTTGGGATAGCGCAGAGCCACGCGAACGGAGGATTGAAGGGTAGAGACCGGACTAGCTGGAGAGGTTGCCGAGTCTGTGGCGAGCACATATCTAGGATTAGGCTTGTACACACCAGCCCGTGCACGAGTGATCATTGGATGTGCAGGCACGGAGGGAGAGACGCCGAGCGATGGCAGGTTGGATGCTGCGGACATCGGATAAGACGTGAAGACCGCGGACGCAGCACTCCCGAAGGACGGTGAAGGCAAGGGCTGGTGTGAAGGTGGGGAGGGTGGAGGAATAGAGGTGGAAGATCCCGAAGGACCAGCTAGAGGAGCGTGTGGCGGAATTGAGGTCGGAGCTAGTTGCTGAAGAACGACCATGTATGTTGCCAGATCGGGAACAACAACCCAAGGAGAAGGAGTCGCCCGTTCAGCGCGAAAGGGGAACTGATGTTCATCGAAAACGACATGACGCGAAGTAAGGATGCGCCGGGTAGCAAGATCAAAGTATCGATAGCCTCGATGATCTGACGGATACCCAAGAAGAACACAAGCGGTGGATCGAGCACTCAGCTTGTTCGGCGTGGTGGTGGCCTGGTTTGGAAAGCAGAGATAGCCAAACACGCAAAGATGGTCGTAGCTGGGTGGAGTACCTAGCAGAAGCTGAAAGGGGGTAAGCTTGCCATTGGCCTGGCAGGGTCGACGGTTGAGAAGGTGGGTGACCATGGATAGAGCTTCCACCCAAAACGAAGGTGGCAAGCCGGCATGAAGAAGAGGACTGTGAATGCAGTCATTCAGAGTCCGAATTATACGCTCGGCTTTCCCATTCTGAGAAGAAGTGTAAGGACATGAGAGATGAAGGGCGACGCCATGAGCAGCAAGGTGAGTGTGGAGAGCATGATTATCGAACTCCTTTCCATTGTCGGTTTGGAGTGTAATCAAAGGGAGTTGAAACTATGTCTGAACATATGCGTGGAAAGATAGTAAACAAGCAAGAACATCAGACTTACATCACAAAGGGAAAGTCCAAACATAGTGAGTGAGATCATCGATTAAGACAAGATAATACTTAAAACCAGAACAGCTAGACACGGGAGATGTCCAAACATCGGCATGTACAACCTAGAAGCGAACATAGCTAATGGAATTCGAAGAAGAAAATGGAAGGCTGGCATGCTTCCCAAACTGACAAGACTAACAAACATGACCAGAAGACTTGGAGTAGCTGAAGTCAAGGTGATGTAGGGTGTGATGGAGAGATTTGGGTCCTAGATGTCCGAATCGGAGGTGCCGGAGGTCGACAGTGGGCGCAGTAGTGAGGAGAGCCTCCGGCGATGACGGTGCCAGAGGATATAGATCGCCGGTATTGTTACATCATAGGAGCACCATTTGTGTCGGTGTGTCCTTGATGGAAAAACCAAACGGGTCAAACTCGACAGTCACATTGTTGTCTTACGTAAGAGAACGAACAGAGATGAGATTCTTAACAAATGAAGGAGACACAAGAATGTTGTTAAGAAAAAGAGGGGAGCGGTTTGTGGCAATAGCTGTGGAGGCCTGATGAGTCATGTAGCACCCGGTTTTAAGGACAAAACCAGATACACACCATATGTGAGCCCAGGAAGTCAAATCTCACATATAGCTACAAATGATGGTAATATCAAAAGACAATGCTTAAATACATAATGTACTTAGTTTAAAAGATATAACCTTAGATAGCAAACAGTGGAATGACAACTCCGATCTTCAGGCGAAGACTCCAAATCCACAGGGATAATTGACTGGTTGATCACAAGCCTAACTCCTCTAGACTCTAGCAATCTGGTACACATCCAAGATTTTTATCCAAGAATTGAAAAGAATAAAGCAAGCATAAGTACATGTTGTACTCAGCAATATAACATGGGGTTATGAAGCTCAAAAGGCTGACATTGGTTTACTGCGATTAGCTTTTAGTAAGTCATCTTTTAACCATTGAGTAGCAACAAGTTCAGCAATAGCCCCCAAATAACCACATAATCATGTAAACAAGAATAATGTATAGCAAAAACAATAATCTTAAGTGAGCATTTTTATCATCAGTATCATCAATGTTTATCATCTATTCAGTAAGGTGTCAAAGGCCGCTCGTGACCATGAGCACGGCTGATATACCAGTTTTACACTCTGTAGAGGTTGTACAACTTTACCCATGAGTCGTGATTTACCCTTTCGCCTGAGGCGGCCAACTTCTTGACCCACTTCCAAGGAAGGTCAGCAGGGTTCACTATGAAGTCTTTCAAAGATTCGTCTAACAAGTTAGGGCCGCTAGGTTTCGGTGGCAAGTAGATGTAGGAACCCCACTTTCGAATGGCACAATACGTTCACGGCTATACTCATAGGAATAGAGGTTGTCCTATACCCGTCTCATCAAGCCCCTTTTGCGCCATAAAGGTAACCTCTAACAAGCTACAAAAGGTCCTGATACTTGACTAAATCCAGAGCCATGTAGCCCTCATGGTTGTACTGTAAGTCCCGAATGATCACTTATAGATAAGTCCTTAGGGAGAGAAACTGGAGTACTATAAAAACCCAATGCTCTAGCCCTCTTGATTCCATGTTGCTAAAAACATCTTTTAAACATTTATTACATATACCATTAGTCAAGTTACAAGATCATGGTTATTTATCTTGTGCACTAGCATAAATACTACCAATGCAAATCACCCATGGTGTCAAGGTACAAGATATCAAGTAGCTAGGATATCCTTAGTGGCAACAAGGTAGACACATGCAATATGAATTAAGTGATATTAAAGTGAATATGTAACAAGGAAGATCCCATGCTATACTTGCCTTAAACTTAGATCCTTCTTCTGTTGATTCGTAACCTCCAAAGAATTGCTTCTTGATCATTACGTAAAACTCACCGACTGGACATAATCATAAAGCACCACACAAGCATCCGAACAAACATACACAGCTATATTAGAATAGTACACCAATCATAAGATAAAAAGGTTTTAAAGATGTTCTACACGTCGCTACGAACACACAGACGCGAAAAGCACGCTAATCGGAGCTACGGTGAATAAGATACAACTACCGATAGATTTGCTTTGAAAAGAAACGATAAGCTTCATTTATTTTGATGATTATATAAAACATGTATAAGATATTTTAGAGAAGTACATAAATTGTACTAAGCCAAATTAGATTTGTATTAGAAAACCAACATAAGATTAATTTTATTTTATTTACAAAAGACAGAGGTGGAAAGTCTAAGTTACTTTTAATTGAAAAAGTAACTATATATAGATTAATCAAATTATTATTTTATTAAAAAGCTTTGAACATGTTAAACAATGCCACTAACACATAGATTAGGTTGCTACCAGGCTAACACAACTTAAACGGGTCAAAACGGAGTTAAAACGAAGAAGATATGGCCTAATGAAGGTAGTGGCAATTTTGTAAATAGATGGAACTTAATTTTTGAATTTCAAATAAATAAAATCCGATTTGAAATCGGCCTAGGACTGCAGATACTATTTTGAAGAAAAAAAGGGGCTCTTTAGAATAAAAGCAAGGATGACGGGTTCTATAATTAAAGATCCGAGTGGGTTTTTAGCAAAAGTGCCAAGGCGAAGAGGTACGGGCTGATTTGAGCCGTTGGATTGAGACTGGACGGCCAAGATTATAAAGAGGGAGAGAGAGAGCGAATACCGGCCGGAGGGGAAAGTCAGCGTGGCGGCTGCCATCGCCGACGACAATAAAAGCTCGCCGGAGTTCAGCGAATCAGCGATTCCGACAGTAGTTGGCTATACGGATGGCATAGGGAGATAGAGGTGGGAACGCCAGACTCGGCTATGGGTTCAAAGATGGTAGCAAGCAAGCAGGGGCTTGCAGAGGCTCGAGGAGGCGGCTCGGTTCTCCGGCGAAACGGTGATGGCGGCGCTGCGGCAGAATAGAGCGAGAGAGAGCGAGCTAAGGCACCTGGAGGCCTTCTTACCACATAACGAAGAACGAGGAGCGGCTTGGGGTGGCGGCTAAGCTGCGAGACGACGAGATGAGGTCGGTGGCGGCAGGCTAGGGTTGCGGCTGCTACGGCTAACTCAAGGCGTGGCGGCACTTGCTCTAGGGTTTGGGGGAGGCAGTGCAAAGTAGGGCTCAGTAATTATGGGGGCGATGGGCATGGGACGCACGCCAATCCGAGGAGACAGGGGCGTGGCGGACTCCAAGCGAGGACGAGAGGTAGGAGACACGACTGACAAGGCAGGCCCACCTGTTGGGCGTCAGCCAGAGAGAGAAGGAAGGCAGTGCGACGTCCACGCGCGGTGTTTGCTCGGCCACTTGGTTGGGCCTGCCAGCGGGGAGAGAGGGAGAGTGGGCTACGGAGGTTGCCAGCCAACGCGGGAGCGGCAAGGGAGTGGAGAGTTGGCCGGACTGAGCTAGGCTGAGAGAGAGAGAGAGAGGGGCCAGCTTGACCAGAAGAGAAGAGAGGAGGGTTTTCTTTATTTCTTTTCCTTTTCTATTTTCTTTTCTTATTCCAAAACCAAATTCAAATATGAAACAAATGGAATTCAAATATTATTTCAAATATACTTTCGATTCAAAAATAGGATAAGAACTCTTTGTAGGTTTTCAAAAATAAACTTTACAATTTTTTTAAACTCTTTTATTTTCCAATTCTCCTTTTCTTTTCTTTTGTTTCAAAGCACTTTTCAAACTCATTTCAAAAGCATTTGAATTCATTTTGAATTTTTGTCAAAACCACACAATACAATAAATCCAATGCAGAGGCATGAATGCACCAAAAATGTTTCTAAACCTTATGATGAATTTTAATATAATGAAAAATATTCTTTTTTATATTTTATGTGCACAAATATTCAAAATTAAAGCATTTTAACTATTTTCAAAATTGAATTTTTTAGGGTTTTACAAGTCACATGCAGCATAGCGTCGTTGCCGACGGTGATGGGACCAAAACAGGATAGGGGTTGAGAAGGGAAGTTACCGGCGTGGGAGGCCATGTGAGATGATGCGCCGGTATTGAGGAACCACTCTGCGGTTTGGGGATCTGTGGGTGGAACGCCAGAGTTCACCAGGGCTGCCAGCATCGCGTGATGATTCTAGACGTTCGGGGAAGGTGGCGGTGGAGGTGCGACGCTGGCAGGGAACTGAGACGGGGCACCGGTAATGTATGCCTATGCGCCGGGATGTGGACCGAGAACGCCGTCACCTGTAATGCGGAACGGCATGGGCCAGGCTTGCACCATACCAGTCCATAGATTGAGCCCAGGTGTCCTCGCAGCGCTCGGTGGGTGCGACGCGAAGCTGGGACTGGAGCCGCTGGGCGGACCAAAGCCGCGCCCACGACCCTTCTTCTTGTACCCACGATCAGGCCGTGGAGCTGTTCCAGGAACCGTCGGCGTGGGCTTGGGGACTGAGTGGAAACCACCATCGCCGGCCGGAGATGGAGAAGCGGGTGAGCACACGGCGCCATTGGCTAGAAGGGCATAGTGTTGAGCCGCCTTGGCGTGTTCCCGATCGTACTGCTCCTCCAAGAGCATGTACGAACACGCCATGAGGAAGGTATGAGGACGGTTCTTCGTAGTGATCACGGGAACAGTGTGGCGATACTTGGGGCTGAGGCCACGGAGCATGTTGAGAACTTGGGAGGTCTCGCGCAAAGGCTGACCGACATCGCGCAGAGCGTCGGCGAGCTGCTTGATGTGGCCGGTGTACGTCATGATGTCCATGTTGCCCTGGACCAAGCTCCTAAACTCTGTGGTGAATTTCATTGTCCCAAAACTAATCATGGATTGCGTTCCATATGGAGTACTGTGGCTTTTGGAACGCGAACAACGGCGCGAACGTCCTTGGACACAGAATTGTAGAGCCAGGAAAGGATGCATTGGTCAAACATGACCCACTCGTGATCGTGGCGGTTTGTGTTGGTTGGCGGGGAAGAGAGGTGCGAACCGAGGGCAAATTTGCCGATGAAAGCATTCAAGAAACAGCGCCACTCGATGTAGTTGGACTCAACAATGTCGAGTTCGACAGGGATGTGGGATTTGATGTTGACGGTTTGCAGAACGGCCGCCGGCGGCGGGGCGACGGCAGGCGAGGCGTTCTTGACAGAGGAAGAGGATGAAGAATCAGAACCGGCGTCGGCAGGGTGGAGGTCGAAGAGGGGATTCGACTCCATATCCATCGCGCGGGGACGACGATGGGCAGCGGAGAGAGAGCGAGCGGAAGGAACAAGTCCTGATCAGCGGCGAGCAGCGAGCAGCGAGCAGCGGTTGTGAGAGAGGGAGAGGTCGGGATCAAGCTGCGCTAATTGATACCATGTAGAAGACAAGAATAGGAGTCAACGCCTGTTTGTATTGCTCTCTGAAGAATATTAATACGGAGTACAAAACCATGTGCGCGGAGCGCACGGTTACAGAACGTGGGCGACGCGCGCAGTCACCGCATGAACACGACGTGAGGGCGCTGACCAACCACAGATGTGGCCAGCAGAACTCATTGCTCCCCCCGCAGTGTGTTGGGTCATTGGGACGACACACAGACTGGAGTGGAACTCCTGGAACATTGAGGTAGGCACGCCCTTCGTCATGATATCCACGTACTGTTCGCCATTGGGAACATGGAGGACGCGAAGATCACCAAGCTGGACACGCCCTCGAACAAAATGAATGTCTAGCTCTATGTGCTTGGTGCGTTTGTGATGCACTGGATTGGCGGACATATACACGCGGTACTGGAGCTCATCAAGTAGGTGCCACAACCATATGCACTTGGCAGCGGTGTTGGCGACGGCGCGATACTCAGGCTCAGCGCTTGATCGAGAGACCGTGGGCTGCCGCTTGGAGGACCACAACACCAGGGCGTCCCCGATAATGATGCAGATGCCGGACGTCAAACGCCGTGAGTCGGGGCAGCCGGCCCAGTCGGCGTCGGAGTACGCTGTGATGGTGAGATCGGAGCTGGCGCAGAGACACAGACCCATGCTGCTCGTCCCGCGAACGTACCGCAAATTGCGTTTCAGTAGAGCTTGATGCGGTCCGCGCGGATCGTGCATGTGCAGACATGCCTGTTGCACAGTAAAAGCCAGGTCCGGGCGCGTTATAGTTAGGTACTGCAGCGTGCCGGCCAGGCTCCTACGTCGCCGACCTTGGGACCGTCCTTGGAAAGTTTGCGTACAGGCACCACGGCGTGAAGTTGGGCATGTTAGTTTCTATGGATCGACTAGGGTAGATCTAGACGGATGTGCTGTTGAACATGATGAACTAGAACAAGTAGAGAGTGGGAGGAAGGAGAGGGGTGCTGGTGTTGAACCTGAGCCCTCGGGGGGGGGGGTCGCGGTTGAGCTGGCCATCTCAGCTTCGGTGATGGAGGCAGCACACGGGCAGCGACGGGTGGAGTAGAGGTTGCACGGACATCGATGCAGTGCAGACGGACGGCGTAGCAGTGACGACGGCGAAGTCAGCGGAGCTTCCCGTCGCTGGCTGCGTGCCCTCTTAGATCGGTCTAGGGTTTGTCGGTGGGGCTTGCGGCTCATGGTGAACCTCGTGCCTCGAGCCGCCGGCCCCCCACCTCTTTATATAGCGCAGTGCGACGGGGGCCCACCAACCATGTAGGGTTGGGCGCCCCCGATCAGGGCGCGTGACCAAGGCCCAATAGGCCGTTGGGCTTATTGGTTGAGAGATCAATCTAACATTCTCCCCCTTGATCTCACTATTACTTTTATCTTTAAACTTTAAACTTCAATCCTTTTATCCTTACTCATTTCTTCACAGATGATGCATAGATCATGTTTCATCGTCACGGTCAATCGCCGATAGATTTAATAGCTACAATGCACGTCTTTGATCTGAAATAGTTACTTTAACTTTTGGGCCCTTTATAGTCCAGGAATCATAGGCTTTCCCTTAAACCCATGCCGGCTACATGTTCTCTGAACACGTTGGGTGGTAAGCCTTTTGTAAGCGGATCCACGAGCATCTTTTCGGTACTTATATGCTCAAGACTTATCATTTGATCCCGAACTTTATCCTTCACAACATAATACTTTATGTCAATGTGTTTGGCAGCACCACTTGACCTATTGTTGTGAGCATACTATACTGCTGGATTATTATCGCAGTATAACTTCAGTGGTCTATTGATGTCGTCAACCACCTTCAAACCGGGTATGAACTTCTTTATCCAGTTCACCTGCCCCGTTGCCTCATAACACGCTACAAACTCGGCATACATTGTGGACGATGTAGTGACGGTTTACTTTGAGCTTTTCCATGAAATAGCCCCCCCTGCGAGAGTGAACACATATCCAGACGTGGATTTTCTATTATCTCCCGCATAATCAGAATCTGAATATCCCACTATATGGAGTGAATCAGATCTTCTATACGTCATCATGAGGCCTTTCGTTCCTTGCAAATAACGCAAGACTTTCTTTACCAATTTCCAGTGTTCTATTATAGGATTGCTCTGGAATCTGCCAAGTAACCCGGTAACAAATGCCAAGTCAGGGCGCGTACACACTTGAGCATATTGCAAGCTTCCGACAGCTGAAGCATATGGAACCACTTTCATTTGATCGATCTCATATTGGTTCCTGGGGCATTGAACATCCCCATATCTGTCGCCCTTGACTATAGGAGCAGGTGAGGGACTACATTTGTGTATACTGAATTTCTTTAAGACTTTTTCTATGTATGACTTTTGTGACAGTCCTAATACCCCTTTACTTCTATCTCGGTGAATCTCAATCCCTAGAACGAACGAAGCTTCACCAAGATCTTTCATATCAAATTTTGAGGACAAAAACTTCTTTGTTTCCAGTAGTAGACTGACATCACTACTAGCAAGTAAGATATCATCCATATACAGGACAAGGAAGATAAACTTCCCATTCTTAAACTTTGCGTAGACACAATTGTCCTCAATATTATCTTTAAACCCAAAATTCTTTATTGTCTGATCAAACTTCAAGTACCACTGTCTTGAAGCTTGTTTTAATCCATAAATGGATTTCTTTAGGCGGCATCCTAAACATTCTTTTCCTTCCATGACAAAACCTTTCGGTTGTGCCATGTAAACATTTTCTTCTAAGTCTCCGTTGAGAAATGTCGTCTTTACATCCATCTGATGTAATTCTAAATCGTAATGTGCCACTAATGCTATTATGATTCTAAAGGAATCCTTACATAAGACTGGAGAAAATGTCTCATTGTAATCAATCCCTTCTCTGTGTAAAGCCTTTTGCCACAAGTCGGGCTTTATATCTCTCTATATTCCCTTGAGAGTCAAGTTTTGTTTTGTAGACCCATTTACAGCCTACTGTTTTGGCTCCTTTAGGAATTATCTCCAAATCCCAAACTTTATTTGCATTCATTGATCTCATCTCATCTTCCATGGCCTCAAGCCACTTTGATGAATGATCACTTTTCATGGCTTCTTCAAATGAGGTGGGATCTTTCTCCATTTGAAATTCTTCAGTATTGTACACTTCATAATCAGCAGGAATAGCTGATTTTCTAACTCTTTGAGACCTTCTAGGGGCCTCCTCATTTGGCACATTTTCTGTTTGAGGCTGTTGTTGCTCCCCCTCTTGTGTGGCAATAGTTTCTATAGGATCCTGAGAAACAGATTCCTCATCATCATTCATTGTTGCCACAGGCGGGATAACAACAGGTGCTGGCACCACAGTGTCTTGTACTGTCGGTGCAGCAACAGCAGGTAGTGAGAAAAATGGCTCATGAATTATTGGAGTGGGTGCATACACCCGCTTCTCTTCAAGGTCAATTTCTCGAGCTACCATGCTCCCCCTAATCATTTCATCCTCTAGGAAGACAACGTGTCTCGTTTCCACAAACTTTGTATGTCTGTTAGGACAGTAGAAACGAAAACCTTTTGACTTTTCTGGATAGCCAATGAAATGGCAACTCACTGTTTTGGGATCTAGCTTCCCAATGTTTGGGTTAAAAACTTTAGCCTCAGTAGGGCTCCCCCACACACGCAAGTGGTTAAGTGAGGGTACTCTTCCTGTCCAAAACTCATACGGTGTTTTGGGCACCGACTTACTTGGTACTCTATCGAGAATATGAATGGCGGTTTTTAACGCCTCCATCCACAGACTCATCGGTAAAGTGGAGTAACTTATCATACTACGCACCATATCCATCAGGGTACGGTTACGCCTTTCAGCTACTCCATTCTGCTGAGGTTCGCCCGGTGTTGAATACTGGGTGACTATACCATTCTCCTGTAAGAACCTTGCAAAAGGTCCAGGAACTTGTCCATATGGGGTATGCCGACCGTAGTACTCTCCCCCACGGTCAGACCTGACTATCTTAATCTTTAAATCATGCTGATTTTCAACTTCTGCTTTAAATATTTTGAATTTATCCAACGCTTCTGTTCTTTCTTTAATTGGATAAATGTAGCCAAAACGAGAGTAATCGTCTATGAATGTTATGAATGAATCATAACCATCCACACTTTTCACAGGAAAAGGACTACATATGTCTGTGTGAATAGTCTTTAGAATTCCTGCGCTTCGTTTGGCATCTTTCTTAATTTTCTTTACATACTTTCTCTTTATGCAATCTCTACATTGTTCTAAATCTGAGAGCTCTAATGGAGGAAGAATATTATTTTTAACTAGTCTTTCTATTCTTCCCCTCGAAATATGGCCTAAACGACAGTGCCATAATTTCGACAACGCATCGTGAGCTCTCTTTCATTTTCTGTTTGCATTGTTCGATGAGGATACATTCTCATTCACATCACATACGGAATTCACATTTTCACGAAGTGATAACAAATAAAGCTCGTCTTGTTGGAAGGCAAGACCAACACATTTATTATTAAACAATATCTGACATTTGCCATTTCCAAAATGGCAATCATAACCATCATGGTCCAACTTTGATACACTAATCAAGTTTCTTTGCAAAGAAGGTACATAAAGAACATCTCTAAGAAAAAGTATAAAGCCATCAGCAAGCTCTAGCGGAAGATCGCCAACGGCCTCAACATCTGCTTGTACTCCATTTGTGACTTTAATGAAACTTTCGCTTCTTTGCAAAGTTCTCATCGAACGGAATCCCTGTAATGAATTAGCAACATGAATAGTTGCACCTGAATCAATTCACTAAGTAGATTTTGAAAACTTTACATACAAGGATTCATTTACAAATGTAA